TTTTTTCCTCTGTTATTCTTTTTGCTGCCGCGATCTGTTGTAAGGGCGGCCAACTTACGCACGCAAGCGGCGTGCCTTGTAAGAGATCTGACCGAGAGGAGTATGACCTATTGATTCACAAGCCCAAAAGAGAATATAAGGGGGCGACCTCTCAGAGAATTGTTCGTCTTCTGGTTCGACTCGAAGCCCACCCTTCCCCGGCCACTGCCCTCCTCGACGGAACCTCGGACTCGGTGCCCGCGCTCGACGACTCTTTTTTTTGTGTTTTGTTTGTATCGTTGTTTTGTTTCGTGCCGTGTTTATTGTTATTCGCCGAATAAATTGTTCGGTTCACTGCTCTTGTTCGTGGGTCGGTCACAACCGCAACTATTGGAGTTTTGCCAAACATTACAGATCCCTTATTTAATTTCCTACTCCAAGAGACTTAAAAAGGTGAGTCGTCTCTGCTGTAACTAGGCTTTTTGTTTACTTATGCTTATAAGCGGACGAATTTTTGCTTACCGTATTCACATATTTGCACTAGGACCCACGCGTACGCAATAACGCACTGTGCGCAGCTCGTCCAAACGCCCCACTCTTCTTCATTCTTCTGATCTCAATCTCGTCCAGCCCCCTTTTTAACGATTGTTCGAAAACTTTTTTCACTTCGGAAACACCGATCAACGCAGTTCCTTCGCCTCCATGGCACTATTTTCCAGATTATCTTCCATTTTTCGCCATATTCTGGGTTACCCAAAATTATCGTGAACTGTGCCTTTAAAGTAGATCTGCCGACAAAACAGCTTCTGAAGCAATAGAAAAGACATGGAGACTGCATATTGCTAATGGATCAAGTGAAAACATTGCAATATGGTCGATGGGTTCGCGATCCAACGAAAAAATTTGACCCCAACAATTCCGAGCAGGTTCATCTTCTATTGTTACATAGCGGAGATAGAGACCCTACCTGAGAAGCATGATTCTGGAAGTTGTTCGACGATGTACTGCTGATGATCCCAGCTCGGCCTTCACAAGGAGTGTTCGGCACAGTGTTAGAAGCCGCACCACTGATGACATTTAGAAGACCAGGACGTTTCTTCTCCTCGTGCACAGACGGATTCGCCATAAGGCCTTCGTCGATATCTTCGATAACTTCCCCATTTTCGTCAACCATTGTCAAGGAACTAAGCATACAGTTCAATAGAAATGTGTAGCAAAAGAATTGTTCACTTCATTCACTTACTCTTTCGTTGTAGGATGTTTAATGAGGTAGTTTAATAGTTGATTATCGAAAATTGTCGAGGAAAGTTGAATATGAAGCGGATCAGAACCAATCTGTAAGATGAAGGTGATCAAGTTATAGGAAAGTAATCAGTATTGAAAGGATTACCCACATGGACACTGCTAACACTCCGCGTGTCTTCGTCCTCCTCGCTACCTTCCTCTTCAACTTCTTCCTCAATATTACGTTCCTGCTTTTCTTTGTCTACGAAAAAAGATCCAGCTTCAGTCGGGTGCGTTTGTTCATTGGGATCCTTCACGTTTTGCACCAACGATACTATCGATTGAGAACCACCCTAAAGAGAAATCAATGCAGACTTTTAGCAAATTGTGCTAAACAATGCCGGCATTAAAAATTTCATTCATGATATTAATAAGGCCATTAAAACAGGGGCTATTCTCGAATCTTCACCCAAGACCACACGGAGGAATCCCTTCTCAGAAATTTGGGGAGTCAGACCCTGTTTTCAACAGCATTTGCATGTTCATGGCAACGGATTCCTAATTGAGATGGATTCACTCTACTGGTAACACATTATCAGCATTGTTTTTTATTAAGCAGTAGCATGAAGTAAGACCTACGGCAAAATCAAATCGTTGAGATTTCTGCACTTGTTCCACGTACTCCTGCAAGGATTTATGGCCAGCATTATCTTGGTTCTCTTCATTTTTTTGAAGACTGCCATGACCTCCAGTGTATGCTAAAAACTGCAAACATTAATCGAAAATACTTGTGACCTACAGATTTTAAATGTTTGCTGCAAAAAACGAACAATGTTCAACGCTAAATGACGCTCTATCTGCAGGAGCGCACTCTGGTACCACTCCTGTGGCCGGATGGTCTAGGGGAATGATTCTCGCTTCGGGTGCGAGAGGTCCCGGTTCGGCCCAACTTTTGCAAACACTTTTAAACGACAAATAGTGGTAGTTTTCGATCATGGTTCTATCATTATACAACAATCGCTCATATAGAGCGCATCCAACACGTTCGTTACTAATCTCAAGGCGCATCCACCATAATCAAAGTTACGTTGCTTGCTGTTTGCAATTAGGAAGTCAGGAAGAAGTCATTTTTTCATAATTCAATCTCAAATAAAGGTGTAACAGAAAAGAATTTTCTGTCAGACATACCGGCAACACATCGCAAAACAACTCCCATATGTAGAAGTGGATCCATTACACTTAGTAACCGAGATGGTGAAGGTAGATACTGAAAGATATAGATAGAAACATTAAATTACTGTAAATCCTTATTCGCAATCATAAAATAAGATCTTATACAAATGGTATAGAGTGAGTTTCTTGCGAATCGGACCCGTTCCCTAGAATATTTTAATCATGATTTCAATGCGACGTTAGATTCACTGAAGAAAAGAAAAGGCTCGGAGTGGCTTCGGACTATCTCAGTGGGTGACCCCAAAACTACAACATTTATTCATAATGAATTTAAAATACGGAACCCAGTGAAAGATCACATCAAAATATTATAGAAAATTACCCAAAACGGTACTGGACCGGATAATGAAGTAGCTCTGAGGAGTTCTTAAGTTATACGATGACAAGGAATTGGTCTAAGCTACCGCTGCATGTGGAAATAGAGACATATTTTTTATATATCAGTAAAAGTCTCGAAGTATTCTTAAAGAATAACCTGAAATAAAAACGGTGTGTACACGGGAACGATACCATCCGGCTTCTTCTTTACGTCCAATTCAATAAGCCGAAGATTTACTGACATTATCAAATTGCCACCAGCTGAATCTCCAACCATACACATTTTCTCACCGGTCCACCCTGTAAAGAAGAAATCCAAGTTCATCCGACAAGGAACTTGAGGAAAACTTTTTCGACAGCACTAAGTAATATTGTTAATTGAGCGCAGCTCTTCTACAGGCTTGAGAGTGAATCTGGCCCACAGAAGAACTTCCGAAACGACACCGAGTTCTAGGCATTTTTGACATTTTTCGAACGCGTTTTTGTAAAAAATCGTTGTTCGAAGTGATAGCGAATTCTGCTGCCCGAGAAGGATCCCATCTACTCGAACGTACCGCCTTTATCTACTACACTGTCTTTGATTTTCTTTAAAACACTTACCTACTAAGTGTGGATTATTGATAACCCACGCATAGGCGAACATCACCTCCTCGGTGGGCCGTGGAAATGGGTTCTCCGGTGCTAAAGAGTATTCCACCGATACCACTGTACAGTTTAGAAGTTTTGCCCACATTCGGAGGTAGGTCTGAAGTGAATATTGGAATCAAAGAAAATTACAAAAGGTAGGTGATAGAGGAATTTCCTAACGAGTAACTGCAATAACGAGTAAATCTGAAGCGCCCACGTACCTCATGTGATTTACTTGAAGTAGCTACGTATCCTCCACCATGGCAATGGAAAACTATATAAGGTGAAGCTGGTTGCTGATTTGAACTACCCGTTGGAGACTGAAATAATCAATATTTTCCACCCTAAAAGACTTAGAAACAAGTAACAAAATGGTTACCATGTGAGGTCGATGTACTGGTGATAGGATACGTATTTGTACTGGACGTGGTCCTGTATGAGCTGTTGGTTCAGGTATTTTTACTTTTCCTCCTTGGGTGGTCTCCAATGTAATAGGACCCACCCAGTTGATTTCTCGTAACTCGTTTATGGCCATATTTGGACTGAACCATTTTGGCATGTTCTGGAAAAAAATAGTTGTCAGAACGAGCTAATGGGAAAACTGGAATTGATATGGTCCAATTATAAGTAGAAGCATCCAGTTCACTCATAAATATTGCAGAAGTCAATCTCACCGAGTACTTGATATAAGGCTCAAAGGAGGTGTGCCTATCTTACGTATTTCTAACAGTTTTCATCCTGCCCCACTAATCTATATCACTGAATTTCGAGCTAAAAAAATAAAAAGGGGATGGGGACATTGGGTAGCCTGGCCCAATCTGAATGAAGTGCAGTGCGTCGCTTCCATCCGCCTTTACACTATTACGTTGGAATTACAAATTCCTGAAATATCACAAATGTCAGAAGAGTGACATTGTGCTTTAGAAGTGGTCGTAGTTAGTCGCCTAGCGATGCGACATGTCGTTGAGGACTGCCGCCTGAGAAGTGTGGTGCAGAAGGAACGAAAGTGTCGCGTCGCGCGAGAGAGACGTCGCGCGCGAAGGAAAGTAACAGAATACAGCGGTAAGTAAGAAATTCAGTAACAAAAGAACTGACGGTAGAATCATGCTATAAGTTATAATCGCAGAGCGATTGAGCTGTATGAAGAACGCTAGAATTGTAATAACGAGGCAAATGGTCCGCGACAGACGCGTGCGGCGTGTCGATTTCACAAAACCGTGCCTACTGCCCGTTTCCCCCGCCTGAGACCCTCAGGAACTGAGATAACCACAGGCCAAAACGGATTCTACTGCTTGTGCAACATTCTTTCGTATACATGCAAGCTCAGATTTTTCGCGTGATTATTGAGTATGGGAATCCCTCCGTAAGTGATAGATCTTAAAGCTAGTTTGTCAGTAGTACTCATTAGTATAGGAGTATAGTAGTATAGGATATAATTTCGATGCCCCAATGTCTAGAGCGCTTTATGGTTCATTTGGGGTTCGCATCAAAGTCTTGTAAGAAGTCTTGGGGCGTTAATCAATGCCGTCTGAGGAATGCCCTCACGCATTGGGTTTCCATTCAGAATCGTAGTGGAGTATTGAATGTATTGAGTGGTGTACAATGACCTTCGGTGGTCAGCCCATGTACGAGTCAATGTTTTTTATCCTCCCAGACGAGTCTGGTACAAACTAAACAACCCTCAAGGGATGGTAGGCATGGTTTGCGTGGACGGATTCCGCAATTCGAACCCGAGACCATGCGTGTGTGAAGTGCACCACTTGCCATTACACCAATTCCGCTCAAGGAAAAAAAACAAAAAAAAATTCTGGAACCATAAATAGGTCCCTTTACTCACAAAACATTTAGCCAACAAGTTTTTAACCCCATTGACGACCACGACGTTTTGCGGGAAAAGCGCCGCGAGGGACCAGCGCGCTTTTCGTCCACCCGCGCCTGCAGCTCTCATGTGGACTTCATGGTCCAGCATGAACATTTTTTGAAATTTATGAGAGAAAATTATAAGTTTTTAGGAATGTCCCTTCAAATTGGTTCGGTAAGAATGCCCACATGAGTGATTATTGATCTTTATTATAGAACCGGCACTCGTTCTAATGGTCATTCAATTAAGAGTTTAATCATTACCAGAAATCGTTTTTGGGAACTTTTATCTACGTTGCGTTTGGAGCTTTGCGTTTGGTCGATTACAGTGAAAATGCTAATGACGACCGTCTTATAGAAATGACTCATTTTTTGAAGTTGTTCAGCGAACGAAGAATTCACCAAGGTAATGTACTCCTTCGAAAAAACACCTTTGTAATTGTAAAATTAAAAGATTTTCTAGGACCAGTTGTACGTAGTTTCATTCAGGCCTGATGTAATGTTTTGAGAAGAAAAATTGTAAAAAAATGGAAGTATAGATGAATAAAACAAAAAATGACAACTGCAGTCCACATGTGGACTGCACGGTCCCACATGGCCGAAAAAGTGCAGTCCACATATGGACTGCATGGTCGTCAATGGGTTAATCGAAAAAAGTCGAGAAGTGTAACAAGATGAAACCACAAGGAGAAGTAAATAAATTTTGAAGGTGTACTCACATTACTCAACTCTGCCAGATTCCAGAATCCTTTGCAAAAGTCAATGTCTGCTTCTTTTGTAACCTAAAAATGACTGCATTACTCAAATAATAACATTTTATACTGCTAACATCTCCTATGCTTAGTTAGCAGTAGATACACGCTAATACTTCACAAACACTTACAGCTCCACAATCCAATTAGGATAGAAAATGAACCTTAACAATCCGTGATGCTCGTTGTTCTGGACTCAGAAAAAATCGACCCGTATTTATAATTGAGCCGATAGGACCGTGTCCTTTTTCCCATGACAAACTATAGGAGGCGAGCACGATACCTATCACTCGGAATATCCTATTTACAGAAGGTGAGAACTGAAAAGTATTATCATCGTGCTGGAAATTCACCTTTTAAAATGAATTTATTTCAGACTAGTTTTTAACATTGTTTTCACTGCGTTGTTATGGTTTTCCTCTATTACCTTTGGGCGATTTTTGGTGGCTCCTTCAGGAATCGCTCAGGGGATAATAGGGGCAAACTATAAAAAAGTATGTTTTGTACTCTCTGGGAAGGCGCATGTGAAGCAGCAGTAATGCTTGGATAGTTTTCGCATCAGAAGGGTCGCCATTGTTAAAAGGCCGGAAAGGGAAGCGCCCCCTTTTAGCATGTCGAACAAACACTGTGAAAAAGTATTATAGTATACCGATATCACCATCTGTGTCCAAGATTGTATGCCGCTTGGCGCTATCCCTCCCATCGTGCCGCCCATTCGACGTGTTTTGCGAGCTGAACAACTCGTCCCGGTTATCGAGCAACCCAGTGCCCATCCAGCTCATAGAAGACCGATCAATGACGCCACGCTGATAGGGAGAACACAAGGAGATCCACAATTCGGCGTCTAAAAGTAGCGGCGTCATTGATAGGGGTTCTATCAGATGGATGAGCAGTGGGTTGCTCGATAATCTGGACGAGTTGTCCAGCTCGCAAACCGCGTCCAATGGGCGGCGCGATGGGAGGGATCGCGCCAAACGACCGCCTCCATGCCCAGTCATTTCACCCTCCTATTCTATGCGCACTTGGTAGAGAAATAACATACTTCACTGCCGAGTAGGATCGGCCAAGGATTGGGATATTACTGGGTAAGGAATGAATTTGGATGACATTATTATGAAAACAAACTAACGGCTCGGTTGTCATAATTGCCTAATATTCTGGAGCATTACACATAAAAAAGAGAGTGGTTTTTTCACGGATCTTCAAGGCACAGTTCACGATAATCCAATGGGCGGGAACGTCAATGGCCTTCCCGCCTCTCGATCGATGTCACGTCAGACGATCAGACGAGTGTCGAGACAATACAGATTGCAACTATTCGTTCTAGGACCCACACACAATCAGCTGATAATCGAGTGATGAGGCAACGTTTTTCTCCCATTCTTTTTTCCTCCGTCGTTCTTTTTGCTGCCGCGATCCCTTTTTTAACTTCCTACCCCAAAACGCTGAAAAAGGTGAGCTACGTTTGCTGTTACTAGGGTTTTTTGTTTACTCATGCTTATAAAAGAATGCATTCTTGCTTACCATAGTCTGCTATTCGCACCAGGACCCACACGTGCGCAGTGAGACATATTGTATAGCTCGTCCAAACGCCCCACTCTTCTTCATTTTTCTGGTGTCATTCTCGTCCAGCCCCCTGTTTAACGGTTTTTCGAAGCCTTTTTTCACTTTGGAAACAACGATTCACACAGTTTCTCCACATTCATCGCACTATTTTCGATCTTGCCCTCCATTTTTCATGATAATCTGGATCATCCAAAATTATCGTGAACTGTGCCTTTAAGTAATTTGGCTTTCGTGATTACCCTAAAATTCCATAGATAAGAGCGGGTGAACGTACCGGTGAAAAATGAATTGGAAAAAATCGAAATTGAATGCAGTCACCCCTCTAACTTGATGGATGGATAAATTAAACTTCGAAGAAGAAGTTAAGAAGNCTTCTTAACTTCTTCTTCGAAGTTTAATTTATCCATCCATCAAGTTAGAGGGGTGACTGCATTCAATTTCGATTTTTTCCAATTCATTTTTCACCGGTAGGTTCACCCGCTCTTATCTATGGAATTTATGGTAAACTGAATAGTAGCACAGTGGAATCCCATGCACTCGATATCCTTCTTGAACCGTCGTGGTATTTGATTGTGTACTCCACCGATGGTGCAGGGCGGAGGTGGTGTAGTGGTAAGTAACGCACTATCACATACGCACGATCCGCGATTCGAATCCCAAATCGGTACTCGCCCACTCTAACCGTATCATTCGTCTGGGAGGACAAAAGCACAGACTTGCACATTGGCTGGCCACCGCGAGCCATTGTATAGACCACACACACACACATTCAAAACGTCACTACGATTCTGAATAAAAGACGAATGCAACGGTTTTTCCCAATAACGGAATTGATTACCGTAAAGACTATCCACAGACCCCATCTATTCATCTACAGATCTACGGACTAGAAGATCCCCCACACATGTCAGTGTTTTTATCAGCCCATTACAATCTGGTTTTAATTAGCTGACCATAAAAGGCCCACAAGCCTAATTAGCCTTACTCGGTTTCGAAGTCCGTTCCAAGAATCGACTACCGGATGGATTTGAGAGCTAACAAAGTAAATAGCGGGGGAGGGGGGGGGTTAATATGAGAAGTTTTTGGCAACCTATCAGCTATTGGAAAAGGTTTCATACAGTGAGTGAGTGAGCTTTAAATGAAATGTAGTTTAGAATAGGGTATAATGGTAGGGTTTGGAGAGGGGAAAGACACGAGAACTGTTTTTCACGAAAATCTAAGAGCAATTGCGTGGAACGCGAATAATCGCCAGTGGAAATAAGTATAGATAAAATAGAATTTTATAACGATAACATATGAAAAATTTTATTTCTACTCACTTGAAAGCCCAATGGTCGTCCATAGAAACACGTGGGATCGAGCTGTTCCAAAGCTCGCAACATTCCATGATATTTATCGTAATTGCCATCCAACGGTGGGAACAGTGACCGAGACGGCATAGACGCTTGATTTTCTATGCACTGAAATAGACCGGTACAAACCAGTTAACGAATATGACAACTATCACGACTGATTTCTCTTCTATTAACACCAATTACCACCTGTTATCACTAATTCACGAAAAATTAGGTTGAAAAGTGACACAGTGCGTTGAAGAGCTTCTACCACATGCCTAATCCACGGATCCAATACCAACAGAGTGAGCAGAACGACATTCCCTAACTTGCTTTGATCTCCGCATAGGTTGAATACGGAGCTTGATAATTTCACAACAGTATATGTAAAATAGGGTGGGGTTCATTTTGGTTGGGAAAATGACTGCTTTCATTGTCCGCCGGCCGGCCGGCCAGGGTGCCACGAGGCAGTGTCAGGGGGAGGAGGGCGGCAGACGGTCGGTCGAAGGGTTGAAAACAAAGAAGAACAAGATCAAAAACTTGGGTGATACCACTCTTATCGAGCTTGTTTATTTTAAAGACATAGTTTACGATAAAAATGATTTCTGAGATTTCCCCATGGGATGAATTTGAGGTCCCTTCGTCTACCATATTTGGCGCTATTAGGTCGGAAAACGGCCTAGTTACGGAGTTATAAAGGCCCAAGGAATGCATCGTGTGTATCCTCGGACGAGTTTCATCGCCATTGTAGAGGCTGCACCGATCATAAGGGAACCCATGTAGGATGTTCAAACCACCTGCCATGACCCATAGCGACAGTGAAAGGCAGTTCTGTACAGTTCTGGCTTGATGTAGTCAGCTCTTTGCGCAATTGCAAAAACCGAAATCTCGTCTGAATACCCCTTCCATGTTATTCCGTTATGGTAATCTCGTCCAATCTCTACTTCCCCTACTTTTGATGAGCCATATTTTTCTTGAAATCGACGGATTTTCGCGCTCCCTTCACTACCGATGAACTTTTCCAACCAATACTTCCTCTTTTCGAATGAAAACAGGCCCCTAAAGTTATCGTGAACCGTGCCTTTAAGAAACAAACGATTTTGCAGGACTACGAATAAGTGGCAGTGAAGTCAATCTCTTATAACTCATTGGCCTGACGTTTCGACACCATCTTATTCTTCAGGGGTCAAGGCTCCACTGGTCAAGCGGATACCAAAATTCGCTGCCACCACGGGCGACTGTCAGTAGCGAAACAACCTCGTACAGTACAAGAATATTCAAATCTGCGTGTATTCGTAATGACAGTATGACAACAACCATGAAAGCGATTACTTACCACTGGTAAAGAGTCGATGAGGAAATGAACAACATTTGCGAAAGCTTCTAGTTCCTTACAGTAATGTGCTAGACGGAAAACAAAAGATCCACGCTGCTCGCTTACGCTCTTCTGAAGCGAGATTAGATGCAGCACTGTGGTATCGCAGATGCATACTAATGACCTGAAATAACTTCAAAATGAAATAAAAACAAATTTGATGAAAATAAATGAAGATAGATATGAAGATTTCACTCGAAATATTAACAGAAACAGAAAGAAAACTGCAAGATTTTACAATGGTGAAGTTGAGGATTGCAGCACAGATCAGTCCAATTTTACTATTCCTGAAAGTAAAAGTAAAAGTTGGATCGCAAGGTCATCTCATCATGGGAGCAAGAGCGACGTTAAGATGTAGCGCTTGGTTAACCTTCTGTGATATTAAGTCCGTGAGAACTCCACCAAAGGTTGTTTGCCTGCATAACTCGGGAAAATGGATCGCTACCGAAGTGGTACTGTCATAACCGATCAGGGTAGCCATTCTGTTAAATAAACTCACGTTCCAGGAGAACAAGTGGTTGGGAGAAAGCCGTGAATCACAGAACGAGACGGAATTTGAAACCTAGCCAATCTTCAAGGTGGGACTTTCGGTAAAAACTGATCCTTTCAAATGTATGAATAATCCACATTCTTGATCGTCCTTCAGCATTCTCTTGTTAGAAATGGAAAAGCATCGTTTGAGACTAGTGTCAGGAAGTACCGTTTTGGATTGGCGAAATCTCAACATCAGTTCACGATTTCCTCACAAATCTATGGAACTGTTCGTCTCAGAGGAGTTCCACAACTCGATATTCCCCATAGCATGAGATGTACGCTTTTGGTCAGGCTCATATTACTATACCTCTCAAAACAGATGCGGGTAAAGGTAGGGTCCTGTGCAGCAGACACAGCGCGAAGATTGGGTCATGAATACCCATTTGGACCGATATACCCATCTGGACCAACTAGGCACTCCATCACCTGGGCCTAGTGGCACTCCATCACCTGGGCCTAGTTGATTGATATCAGAGCCATCTACACATTGGTCTTACTCGGCAGGTCTTGATGGAAGGAACACACCTCAAAACAGTAGGTGAGTGTACGGACTGCACACAAAAACAGGTCTTGCCAGCGAGCCTTACCCATATAAACGAATATTTAGTCATGCAAATTATTATTGAAATCGATTGAAATGTCTTTGAGGGGTTCTCATTGGCGAATGACGACATGGTCGTTCGAATGATCAAATATAATAAAAACCTTATGTAACGGAAGTATACTGCTGTAAACATACCTAAACCCGTTTCCTGGTGTGTTCTCATCGTAATCGTAACTCGGAGCAATATCTTGCAATTGAGTCACCAAACCTGAAATTGAAATTGTGAACATGTGAAGCATTTTCTATAAACACTAGTAAAATTGTGTGCATTTTCAGAGTAGTAAATAGCCGTAAACGGGGTGATCCACTGGGTACAAAGCCGTTATGGCTATCTGGGGCTTGACGGACTGAATTCACATTCCGGGCCGGCCTCACTATTTTGGGTCGCAATTTTGCAGATTCTAACAAAAAAAAACAGTTGATAAATAGTCTCAAAAAATTCAAACTTTCCTTTTAAACTAAACTACTCTCTAATGCCGAATCACGAGTCAAACCAAATGACCGAGAATATTCGCTGCAAAAGGTTACTCCCAATCTAACGGATTCGTCGGATACCTCAGAAGGGTTGTGGTGCAGTAGGAACGAAATTGTCGCGTCGCGGCGAGAGAGACGTCGCACGCGAAGGATTATGGCAGAATGCAATAGCAGTTAAGAAATACAGGAACAAAAGAACTAATAGTAGAATCATGCCCAAAATAAGAATCGCATATCGATTGAGCTGTATGAAGAACTCCAGAACTGTAATAACGAGACAAATGGTATGCGACAGCCGCGTGCGGCGAATCGATTATAGAAAACCTTTCCTACTGCCCGTTTCCCCCTCAGAAGTATTGACGGTTTCGAAAAGTAAACCGATGGATGAAATTCCCGAAGCCAGTTCTTACAATCCCGAAAAAAGCATCGAGCCCCTTCAGGATAAAGACAATAACAACTACCAAATCACAAGCATTAAATTAGAAAAAAAACCATCGAAAGTTCCTGATAGCGTAACAATGCGAGTAATTGATGAGTAACCTGCTTAGCAGTAGCTTTCAAAGGACCTTCCCTTTGCTTCGATCAGAATATTGGGAAAATTTAGTTTGGTGTTTTGTTCTGGGCGAAACCATATTGAGGGAGGCGCAGAGCGCAGAATTGCACGTCCTCACATTCCCAATCGCTCAAGGGCCAATTTTCGCATTTGATGGAACAGGGGAAACCGAGGGAAAGATAAAAAATTGAAAAAATAATACCCGTTGAGAAGAAAAATAGGAAAAAGGTTTAGAACGTCTGGAATTCAAATTAATGGCAGCGTTTCTCAAGGTAGCCTGACGCAGGGATTACTCGCTTGAATAATTTCGAGTGTAAATGAGAGATTTTTTGCTACGAATTCCTTGAATTCAGGCAGATTCGCAGAGAAACGAACTCTAGCCAAATCTCTCTCAAGAAATTGGAAAATGGATCGATACTATAAGCTTTTTCTATCCACCTGATTGGAAGTTGACGGGTTCCCATTAAAATATGATTACGATCTATGGGGCTGTAGTTTCCTTCGAGAAAAGGAAATCATGAAACCGTCACGGCGGTCCCACCAAAACCATGAAGTAAGGTTCACCTGTTGTTTTAAATCGATATTAGCGAGTAGGGACAGTACTGCTCAAGGGCGGTCTATAGAAAGCCTACACTATGGTTTCTGTACACTGTAGTTATTGAGTACGTGATACCCCTTCTACACTCGTTTCTTGGTAACGTCCCATTCATGTCAAATGACAATTTTTTTTTGAAGAGGAAGAGATAAGTACTGTCAAATGAACGTTACCGTACTTCGCAGTTTTCCCGCGCACTCTTGTATATCCGCCGAGACGTTGACCATACGATCACTGTAACCGCTCCATGAATTTGTTTTTGAGAAGTAATCAGCATTGTCACTGCACAGCTGAAAGGCGCTAGTATAGGGTCCGTTAAACTTTTATTTTTCAGTTTTCCCAATTCAAATTCAATATGAGAAAATGAGTAGTATTGTTGAATGTAACTATCATTTATAGAAACATATCACCTGTTACAACCAAAGATCATTTGATATCAGAGGTGAATATCAGAGAATTCAAGGGGACGTTTTATTTTCCTTGAAACCGGAAAACTGTAGCATCCTTACAATTAGTAAACTATATTCGGGTATGGAAGTTCATAGATATTTTGTATTTAAATTTATTTCGATATTTTCAGTTTCTTGACTTTCACCCCGTTGGTCTTGGAAAAGCATCGGAAGCTAGTCGAGGCGACATTTTCAGTCGAGAGGACAATTACCCATTCTCGCGAATTCAGTTAGGCACAATGCCTCAGTAAGAGTTGATGATGACGGATTGAGCACGCTATCCTTCGTCGTATTCGTATAACTTACTGGTTTACCATGCCCAATATACAAACAACCCTAGTGTAGCAAAGATGATGTTTCGAACCTATCATGTTAGGAAGGTGGTGGAAAGTAGTAAAGCAAAGGTTCTTTATTACTTCACTTCAATGAATAAGTATGTGATTTTGAATAAAAAATTGTTAAATCAACTGTTAGAAATTGTACAGTCGAATGCGTATGGCCCTGATCGCTTTGTGGCCATTCCCCAATCCGGGCGAAACTCATGCAGGTAGAGTGGCGCCGATTAAAACTCCAGAGAACAATTCACAAGCTAAAGTACAATATAAGTACCAATCCAGTGCTGATTCAGATAACCTATCTAACGTCCCGATTCCGCTATTGACCTCTTAACTCCTCAGCTATCTCTAGGAACACAACTTCGATATTGGTGCGAAATGAATGGTTAACAGACATGGCCAGATTCAAGATTGGCGGCCGTTCGGTTTTAGCCCATAAAATGAGGCCTTCGAGTGCATACCTTAAGATAAATTGAGACTTACTTGTTTTTATGGGAAAGTCATCGCTGAATTGAGTTAAAGGATTTTCCGTAGAACTAACTTGATAGGACCCACACATTCACCCTCTGTCCTTCTCCCTCCACGGACACTCTTTCATATCCTCACTCCTCCTTTGTATCTTCTCCAAAATCTTCCTGACATTTTTCGTGACCCTTTCCTCTGGGAGTAATTTTTTGTAAAAAATCAAGTGATTTTGCGCAACTCTAATCCATTGCCCAGTTTATCTCATGCCAGAAAACGAGTAGTGGTCAAATTAGATGCCGATATTCGCATCACTGGTATAAACGTTACATTACTTCCAATACTCACTTGATCTCTCGACCTTTCTTACATTTGAGACGTCCTTCTTACGTAACTGGGCCACCAAAAGAGACCACTTCAAAATTTGCATATCGTCGGGATGCTATACCACACTGAAGAGTCAGCCAATACTAGATTGTGACTCGTTCCCTAACCAAAAACTGATAATGTGCTCAAGAAACCAAAATGGGACCATGTTTACGATGGCACCGAATATTGCCCACTCCAACAACATTTGATAGCAAGCGATCGGATGGAGCAAAAAACGAACAGCATAACTCTAGCAAGCAGCCGAAAAAAATAAGCAAAACGCAATTCTTGGAAATGAAAGGTGCTTCAAAAGTCAAATGCATGAAATGAAGTCTTATTTCTTCTGAAAAAAATGAAAACTAGGAGAATCACAAGAATTTAACGAGAAACATCCCGGAAATAAAAACGTCACGCAACAAAAAGTTCCATAAGCTCTCTGCTGCGGCCAGTACGGATTATATCAGCTGCGCCAAATATATCGTGTCCCTCTAATAATACCCGGAACCCTACTGAATAGGGAACGGTTATTTCAATAAAAAATGTGCTTATCCGTCTAATAAAAAAGTTTAATAAAATATGCCCAAGTTTCTGCAGAACATTCCTAACTCATTCTTTTTTTTTTCTTCCACCTCTACCAACGATGAGTTTGAGGCTATTGGAAGTACCGCGGACAGTTGATATCGAGATTGAACAAAAATCAATGAGATACCATGGTATACACATTTGTAAGCCTACTCAAACAAACTCGTTACTCGAAATGCAAGGTCTCAAAATTGGGCAGGAAAAAGGAAATAATGACTTTGTTCCCTGCATCTGTACCTATTGGAGGTTTTCCTGCACCTGCTTATAGAAAGCAAAAATCAGATTGAGCTAAGTTGGGAAGGAAAAAAACGATTCATCGTCCATCCGGAAATGAACGTAGGATTGAATGAAATGAAAATCGAGCAGCAAAAATTTACCATGAAATTAGTGTGAGGTCAGAAGCAGGCAAAGGTTCAGATGGGCCGTCTTTAGTATGTTTATAATAACGTTCAAGTGGGGAACACTTCAAGTTTGTGGGAGAAAGCCTCTAAGACCTAGTTGTTGAAATTTTTCATGACGTTCCTCTAAAACTAGAGAAAAATAATATTGAATAGGATTGGAAAAGCTCTCGTGAAACAGCAGGTGGCGTAAGAACTTTTATCCAGTTTTCCCTTATTGATCTTCATCAGCTAACGTGTTATCCAGATCTGGCTGTCAACCAAGAAACGATCTCGTGAGAATATCCAAAAAGTCCACTTGAACAGGGCAATCTGTGGATCGCTCATTATTGGGATGCAAAGCACAGGTTTCGGTGAGAACGTGAAAATTAGTAACATCATCCGGCCCTTCCTTGCACAACTTTGGTACCACATATTCATTAGTGGTTACATCCAAAACTTCTCTAGGTACACCCTGATGGCATGCCAGGTATAATGCAACCGATAAGACCCCAGTTCAGCAGCTATCGATGGAATGAAATTAATTTAAATTGCTGAGCACTTTTTTACTGAGGGACGTTGTTTCAGCCTTACAGTAGCCATACAGGATCAAATAAACACATAATTATACTTCCTATATGTCCTGCACAAGAATCACAAAACATTCGGAAAGGCCTGCCACAATTTAGAAGATTTTTCTAGTGAAGAAGGAGCTCGCCTTTAGGGGGAGGCGAGACGATGCTCGATTCTTGAAATTATCGCGCCGCACGCGGCACGCGAAAAATTCGCGCCTTACAACTGCTACTAAGTGCACACATTTCAAGTTAGTGAATGTGGACTTAAGCTTTGAAGGGAATCATTTTAGAATTGCATCAAACTTTTGAAGCCTTCAATCCCAATCCAATCATTTTTCCAAAAAATTCAGGCTCGCATGGAATATAGAGAAGCAAAATATATCAAAATATATGAGAAAATATCGATTTAGAGGTCAAATTGTGAATGATGGAGAACTAATTTTTCTATAAACCCGAATGAAACCCCTAACTTCAGCTGGATGATGTCAAAACTGATTTTCCTCGAGATAACCTGTTCAGTAAAAAGTTTTTGAAATAAACAGGTCCCCCTTGCTCTGTCTCTATCCCATCTCTTTCGTCCATGTCTGCACGAACTGCTTCCAAAGAAGGTCTTATTTACTTTATGCCAATTATCATGACCTTCCAAGATAAATGAATGCGGGAATACTGGTAATGAAGTTTTTCGAGAATTAATCAGCCTATTCAGAAGTCAGAGAATGAACAATGAAGGAATTTATGCTAAAACCGAGAGCGAATGTTGATCAGAATTATAAATACAACAAAAAAAGGAGTGTAATATTTGGTAAATAAAACATCGATAGGTGATGTTTCCGTTACATCAATACCAGTATTATAAAAATATTATGTGGCTATTGTAAAAAGTGTTCTCTCAGAGCACGTGACAAGTACGGACATTCCGACGAGATGAATTGATACGCGCGCAGTGAGGCGTCGTCGATTTGATGGGGTTCACAGGTGTTAGAACGAGTAGAACATCGCAAATTACGGTAAACCTATTTCCACTGTTTTTGTTTATCGACAATACACCTTTAAATAGTTGTAATCACAACTGTCCATTGAATCGTTCAATAATTTGCATTATAACTTTATACATGTTGGTAACCATTTAGGAAAAAACCGATATCTCATTTTTCAACAGAGTAGTACGAGGCAGATCAAAAATCGAATGAAAATATGGAAAATTTGGTCTGAATTGGATTTTCCATGATAACGAAGAAAAACGAAGAAGCGTAAAAATCAGCGGCATGCGAGTCTACCACGGATTATCAAGATGCATCGAATGTTCGAGTAAAAGTAGTAATAAAAGTAAAAAAGTGAGGTAACGTAGATGACAAGGCATTATTACCTGATTGAGTAGCGTGAAAATGGCCGTACGTTCGATGGACAGACGATGTCCGAGTATCGTTTTGTTGTCGTCGTTCAGTACACGATTATCCAACATTCTGCACCATCTGCGAAGTAGTGGTGATGAAGGCAGACGTGATGGTCCGGACACCATCGAGATACGGCGGAACGGTAATATCGTATGTACGTATAGATGGAGGACGTGTCACGACGGTGATGACAACGACGATGGCCACAACGACAACGATCACGACGATAAAAATAGCACCACCACCACCACTGCTCACAGTCTAATCCGATCGAAATGAATGTGAATGTGTATGCGCTGGCGCCCGCACAGCGCCCTCCACCAGTTCGACGGCGACCATACACACACACGCACATATACGCACACATACACGCACATACACACACTCGCACATATACACACACATGTACGTCCGCACCTATCAATTGGAATCGTTGTACTGGTAAGATGACCGCATGGTTCAATTGACCGTTTCCAGGGTAATAGTAGCGGGACATGACGTAATGTTGACAAAACCCATTCACCTAAATTTTCACTGGTTCCACCCAGAGCCCAGCCATCGCTTTAGTATATTTTGACTAGCGAAGAGGAGAATCTGGAAAGGTAGCAGATGTGATAGGCTTGACACTCGGACAGCAACGAGATCGAGCTCTTCACGACTCGTTCTCCGTTGGTTGCGTTGGTTCTTGTCATTCAGGGACAAGCACGGGCAAGGCCATTCATAGTGGAACATCCTACGCTTCAATATTTTAATAGAAAGGGTTTGTCCGCAGTTGGTAAAGGAAAGATATCTAATGAGCTTACTAGTACAGCAGACCCCCCCCCCCCCCCCCCCCCCCCCCCCCCCACCTCCCTCTCAGCCTTACCCACTCAAAGCTTTTACGTTTTTTAGAAATACCAAGGAATCAAAGGGATCACTTTTTCAATGTCCTAACCGACTAATCCAATGTTCCTAGCCGCTGATCGGGTTCCCTAATACCAAACCAAAACACCAAAGGGTTTGTCCGGGTACACAAACACTTTCAAAAATCATCACGCTTTCTGCTACCTCTTTTCTGTTCAAAAGAATGAGACTAACACAATCATCCGGATGAATTTACTCTACCCTCACCTTTCAGTGAATTTCAAGATACGAGCTATTCAACGACTCCCTTCAACAAATTTCAAGATGATCGGGCAAAGTTCAAGGGTGAAAACATTCGACATACAGAAATAAATGAATGGCAAACAGATAAAAAGTTGTTTGGAACGAAAAAAAATCAGTCGAATCAAAGTTCAAAAATTTCAAATTACTGGATTGAATTAAGAAGAGAAGGAAAACACAAAACCAAAGACGATGACAGTAGTTTATCGGCGTTTCAAATGAATGCAAGAACGAATGCAAGAAATGAAGAAATGAGTAGAAAGGGAGGTGGTGGATGAAGAAGGCCTCGTGTCGCGTCGGTAGGATCCGGTCTAGGATGGATCGTCAAAGTCTTTGCTCCGCTTAGCGCTTCTAAGTCGCAAGGCAGCCAGGGTTACTCAAACTGGCTCAAGAATGACTTGAACAATTGGTGGCCCTCCAAATCTGCTTTATAAGCCAAAAACGGACGTAGAACATCGTCGTAGGTTGTATTATTAGCCTCCGAGATTTTTAATAACAGTTTATCAACACGGCTTACGTTTCGGCAATATCGCCTTCGTCGGAGCCTGTAAGTCAAAACTATATTTGTGATTCGTGGGTTACCATTTCAAACTACTAGAAGAGAATTCGAAAGGGAAGTAAAACAGAAGCGATGAGCCGACCTGAAACCGGCTGGAGCTGTTTGTCTGCACCCTGAGCCCGAAGTTCTTCACGGCGTTTTTATATGTGCTGGGACTCAGGGGTCAGGTTAGGGATTGCTCCAGGGGACCCCCCAAGATTTAAACTAATAAATAAGGTCATACGAGGTCAGGTCCCTGTCAGTGGTCGCGCATCGCCCTTGGTATTGATTAATCAGCGAGTCTGGATATTTTCCCCCGTTACCCCTGCCCCGGCGCCCTCGCGGGGGTATCGACTGTGTAGGTCAAAGCCACACAAGTCCGCGAATGGCGCGAGCTCCCTGGTAATCGCCACGCATTCGTCCTTCCTGTTGATTTTCGGGTTCTTTGCTGCGGGTGAAAATCCACAAATCCGCCACAAGAGCCTAACGTTGTTGCTGATACTAAGTTCCGCCTATTCGCAACAGCATTCTTCTCAGAGCTCCGTAGAAACATAGGCGCACGTGCTCCTCCCAACTTAAGTGCTGCTCAAAGACGGGGACTCAAGGAGCCTAGGGATTTATCGCAGTCGGGTATAATAAAAATAAGCGTAAGTGACAAAGGAGGAGAGTTTGTGGTTCTCTCGCAGGAATTGGACAAGGCAATGACGCGGTTGCACCTGCAAGATCAATCCACATACAGTCCTTCGGCCCCAGAGGAATTCACGAGGCAGTATCGGCATCTGAACAAAGTGTGGACAGAGACGGCGAAGTTGGCAAATTTGCCAAAAACTGTGATCAGCAGACTTAAATGTGACCTACCCATATGTCCCGTATTATATTTGCTTGTAAAAACTCATAAACTTCCCCAGGATGGCGTACACCTAGAGGACCCTAGCCGGTTTAAAGTAAGGCCCATTATAAGTTGTGTTGGTGGCCCCACGGATAGGATTGCTTGGTTTCTCAACCTAATCCTAATACAACTGTTGCGGTTTGTCCCAGCACACTTACCAAACACTAATGGGTTCCTTAGAAAACTACGTGAAGGCAGGCTAGAAGAAGGAAATGTAATGGAGTCGTTTGACGTGACTTCATTATACACGAACGTGCCAAGGGAGAGTGCATTGCAAGCAGTCTTGGAAATCCTGTCTGAGCACCATGCTAGTCTGAATTTGTATGGCCTCACTATCAAGCTCATTATGTTGCTGCTCGACGAAAGCCTAAAGTGCAACGTCTTTAGGTGGTCGGGTCAATACTATAAGCAAGTGAGAGGACTAGCTAGGATTAGCACCAGCGCTGGCTATAGCGTTCATGTCGAAAGTTGAAAGGCCCGTCTTGGAACGAAGGCCACTTATTTACTGCCGGTACATCGACGACTGTTTTATCGTGTGTTCCACTCAGACTGAGATGGACACCTGTTTCGAACTACTTAATAGGCAGTCTGAACATATAAAGTTCACTAGGGAAAAACCGGCAGAGTTGGCTCGCCTTCCTCAATGTTCAGATAAAATTCTCGCACGGTATCCAAAAAACGAAGTGGTATCGAAAGCCTAGCAGTAAGAACATCCTTGTTCATTGCAGCTCAGCGCATCCATTGAAGATGAAAACTGCCATTGTCAAGAATATGTTTAAAACGGCCTCTGCAGTTTCGTCTGAAGGCGTTCTTAGAAAGGAATCCATGGAAATGGCCCACCGGATTGCGCAGGAGAATGGATATGGTTGCAATGGGCAGCCTGTCAGGTGTAGAAGACGTGCTAGGGTGGAACATGCGCAAGAGGAAGGACGAACGAAGGTACCTTTCTGTGTACCTTTCGTTTCAGATGATATGAGCGCTGCCAGTCGCGCCGGTCTCCGAAAAGCTGATCTCCAAGATAGTGTGCGAGTGGTCGAAATACCTCCATTGGACCTCAAAAGACAGTTGGTTCGAAATCGTCTTCATGATCGGTGATGCCAAACGCCCTTCTGTGTGATTTGCCCTTCAGGAAGGGAAGGTGACTGTATGATCTCAGGAGTCGTATATCTCATCACATGCCAACTGTGTGGGGATGAATATGTAGGGGAAACGGGAAGACCACTATGCATCAGGATAAAAGAGCATTTGGATGGGTTAAATAGGTCAAGAAAGTCCACTTCTCTGGGTGATCACAAGATACAGCACCATGCAAATGAAGGTGTTAAGGTCTCTGTTATGATATTGTCTCGTGAAGATGACATCTCAGCCCGCAAGACTCTGGAGGCAGTGTGGATCGCAGCAAAGAACCCGAAAATCAACAGGAAGGACGAATGCGTGGCGATTACCAGGGAGCTCGCGCCATTCGCGGACTTGTGTGGCTTTGATCTACACAGTCGATACCCCCGCGGGGGCGCCGGGGCAGGGGTAACGGGTGAAAATATCCAGACTCGCTGATTAATCAATACCAAGGGCGATGAGCGACCACTGGCAGGGACCTGACCTCGTATGACCTTATTTATTAGTTTAAATCTTGGGGGTCCCCTGGAGCAATCCCTAACCTGACCCCTGAGTCCCAGCACATATAAAAACGCCGTGAAGAACTTCGGGCTCAGGGTGCAGACAAACAGCTCCAGCCGGTTTCAGGTCGGCTCATCGCTTCTGTTTTACTTCCCTTTCGAATTCTCTTCTTGTAGTTTGAAATGGTAACCCACGAATCACAAATATAGTTTTGACTTACAGGCTCCGACGAAGGCGATATTGCCGAAACGTAAGCCGTGTTGATAAACTGTTATTAAAAATCTCGGAGGCTAATAATACAACCTACGACGAAGTTCATTATGCCGAGATTAATCGAGAGTCGGACATGGGACCTAGAACACTCATAAATGCAGCCTGGATAATTGGCGTCTCTCAAGCCAAGGATTCTTCATCTTCACTGTTCTGCGCTGACTGAAATTTCTCTGAGTTTCCCCCTGCATCTTATATAATTGCTCGTTGCTTTAGGAGCCATTGGGAAGGTCCGAACATGGGGTTCACGAAGAGGGAAAAATGTCAAAATGGAATACGGTGTTGCACCAACATACATGATAAAATAGAAGCGGAAATTATTTAAAACTTAAAATTTAGAAGAAGAATAGACTCCAGAAGTCCAACGGGGTGATCTGTAAGTAGACTTGCAATCAACGCAACTATCTGGCAAGCTTCAGGATGGTTGGCTTTGGCAGTAGCAGTGGGAAGTCACATTAGAAACATAGTTTTTCAAGAGTAAGGAGCTATGAAGTAGAGCAAAAGACATGATTAAACCTGATCATCCAAAAAGACGGAAAGACGTAATTAAACTTTCAACTTTCTGCTTCTTCTTTCCTACTTCATCCTGGTAGATGAGCTGACGTAACACA